GGCTGGCCAGGCTTGGGAGTCAGTGAGCTGTGTGGCTGCACTGGTTGCCATAGCAGCAGGGGCGGGGCAGCTGACACAGCTCACACGCAGGGGCAGGGAATACAGCAGGAGACCTGGCTGCACGGAGATTTGGGGGCGGAGCCAATCCGGCCGTGGGGGCGGAGCCAGGCCGGATGTGGGGGCGGAGCTAAATGCAGCCTCATACTGCTGCACATAGAGGGGAAGCAGGAAGGAGTCCCTGCTTCCCCAACTACAGCACAGGAGGGACTGAATCCCCTCCTCCTCCAGCCCAAACTGACTGTAAGGGAGAGAGTGTGTGCTGTGTGTGTGTAACTGTGATTGTGACTGTCTGTGTGATTGTCTGTCTGTGATTGTCTGTGTGATTGTCTGTCTGTGATTGTCTGTGTGATTGTCTGCCTGTGATTGTCTGTGTGATTGTCTGCCTGTGATTGTCTGTGTGATTGTCTGTCTGTGATTGTCTGTGTGATTGTCTGCCTGTGATTGTCTGTCTGTGATTGTCTACCTGTGATTGTCTGTGTGATTGTCTGTCTGTGATTGTCTGTGTGATTGTCTGTGTGATTGTTGTCGTGATTGTTCGTGTGATTGTCTGCCGTGATTGTCTGTGTGATTGTCTGTCTGTGATTGTCTGTGTGATTGTCTGCCTGTGATTGTCTGTCTGTGATTGTCTGTGATTGTCCTGTGATTGTCTGTGTGATTGCTGTCTGTGATTGTCTGTGTGATTGTCTGCCTGTGATTGTCTGTCTGTGATTGTCTGTGATTGTCTGTCTGTGATTGTCTGTGTGATTGCCTGTGATTGTCTGTCTGTGATTGTCTGTGTGATTGTCTCTGTGATTGTCTGCCTGTGATTGTTCTGTGATTGTCTGTGACTGTGATTGTCTGCTGTGTGTGTGTGTCACTGCCTGTGATTGTCTGTGTGATTGTCTGTGTGATTGTCTGCCTGTGATTGTCTGTGTGATTACCTGTGATTGTCTGTGTGATTGCCTGTGATTGTCTGTGTGATTGTCTGTCTGTGATTGTCTGTGTGATTGTCTGCCTGTGATTGTCTGTGTGATTGTCTGTCTGTGATTGTGTGCCTGTGATTGTCTGTGTGATTGTCTGTCTGTGATTGTCTGTGTGATTGTCTGTCTGTGTGATTGTCTGTCTGTGATTGTCTGCCTGTGATTGTCTGTGTGATTGTCTGTGATTGTGTGCCTGTGATTGTCTGTGTGATTGTCTGTCTGTGATTGTCTGTGTGATTGTTTGCCTGTGATTGTCTGTGTGATTGTCTGCCTGTGATTGTCTGCCTGTGATTGTCTGTCTGTGATTGTCTACCTGTGATTGTCTGCCTGTGATTGTCTGCCTGTGATTGTCTGTGTGATTGTCTGTGATTGTCTGTCTGTGATTGTCTACCTGTGATTGTCTGTGTGATTGTCTGCCTGTGATTGTCTGTCTGTGATTGTCTGTCTGATTGTCTGTCTGTGATTGTCTGTGTGATTGTCTGCCTGTGATTGTCTGTGTGATTGTCTGTGTGATTGTCTGTGTGATTGTCTGCCTGTGATTGTCTGTCTGTGATTGTCTGTGTGATTGTTTGCCTGTGATTGTCTGCCTGTGATTGTCTGTCTGTGATTGTCTACCTCTGATTGTCTGTGTGATTGTCTGTCTGTGATGGTCTGTGTGATGGTCTGTGTGATTGTCTGTCTGTGATTGTCTGTCTGATTGTCTGTCTGTGATTGTCTGTGTGATTGTCTGCCTGTGATTGTCTGTGTGATTGTCTGTCTGTGATTGTCTGCCTGTGATTGTCTACCTGTGATTGTCTGCCTGTGATTGTCTGTGTGATTGTCTGTCTGTGATTATCTGTCTGTGATTGTCTGTGTGATTGTCTGCCTGTGATTGTCTGTGTGATTGTCTGTCTGTGATTGTCTGCCTGTGATTGTCTGTGTGATTGTCTGTCTGTGATTGTCTGTGTGATTGTTTGCCTGTGATTGTCTGCCTGTGATTGTCTGTGTGATTGTCTGTCTGTGATTGTCTACCTGTGATTGTCTGCCTGTGATTGTCTGTGTGATTGTCTACCTGTGATTGTCTGTGTGATTGTCTGCCTGTGATTGTCTGTGTGACTCTGTGTGTGTGACTCTCTGACTGATTGTGTGTGTGTGTGACTGTCTGTGATTGTGTTATGTGTATGTATGACTGTCTGCCTGTGATTGTGTGTGTCACTGTGTGTGTGTGACTGTCTGCCTGTGATTGTCTGTGTTACTCTGTGTGTGTGTGTGTGACTGTCTGCCTGTGATTGTGTGTGTGACTGTCTGTGACTGTGTTGTGTGTATGTGTGACTGTCTGTGATTGTGTGTGTGACTGTCTGCCTGTGTGATTGCCTGCGTATTTGACTGTCTGCCTGTAACTGTGTGTGAGTGACTGTGTGTGGGACTGTGTGCATCTGACTGTGTCTGACAATCTTCGCCCTGCAGTGAGCTGGCAGCCAGGATATGATGTCATCGCTGCCTCGGCGTCATTACAGGGCGTGCGTGCGAGAGATCCCAGCAGCAACCACTGACCACCAGGGACTGAGGATCCACTCCAGCCCTTCTAGAGCAAGGTAGGGAGGCTGGGTGGACCTCTTAATTATTAAATGTGTGTATGTATGTAATGTTTGTGTGTGTATGTGATTGTATGTGTGTGGGTCAGTGATTGTGCTTGTGTGTAGCTGTGATTATGTGTGTGATTGTGTGTATCTATGCATGTGTTTAGTAGATAGCTCCCTTATTTCCTGTCCTCAAATATTGCAATCCCACATAAAGATAACAAATAAGGGATTTATCTACTAAACAACTGAAAATAAGAAAAGGGCTTTTTTTTTTTTATCCTTTAGCTGTTTAGTAGATCATTCCCTAAATTGGTGCCCGTATGTGAGATTTCCATATTTAAAGATACCACATGAGGGTGCTGTTTAGCAGATAGCACCTTATTTGGTGTCCTTAAATATGGCAATCCCACAAAGGATAGCAAATAGAGGAGTTATCTGCTAAACAAAGATTGAAATTAAGAGGTGTCAGCCAGCCCA